TAAAGATAGTAAATAGAGAGAAAGCTATTTATGTAAAAATTATTTAAAATATGATGACTTTGAAAGCGTATTTCAGATAAATACTAATAATCATATATATTTTCCACCAAATATAGTATTTTGCTAGACTTAAAAATCGATTAAAATTTTTACTTAAAAATTAAAGATATAAAAATTAACCCACAAGTGCCATTTAGTATACAAAGTAAACATCATTCCTATAAAATGCTACATCTGTTCCCAAGCGCTCGAAGCTACAAATCATCCATATATTAATTGCTGCATACACACGCACGCACGTAATGCTGCCCTTCATAACCACACATAAGCCATGTGTACGTTTGTATATTTGTTGGGTGCTAAATAGATAAACACTTAATATAAAATGCCATTGAAAATGCACACAAACTAACCCATATACATATATTTACAGTTCATTGTATGTTTATGTCGTTGTGCTTGTGCCAAAGCCGCTTTGCCAAGACGCCAAAGCCCATTGGCATGCACGCACTCGCCTAGCAGCCAGGCAGCAATTTATGAACTTGCTTTTTGTTTGGACTCGCATAATTGTATTTTCTCGGCTTAAATATTTTATCAGTAGTGACTACAATTATGAAGATTAATTGAAAAGCTGGCAGGAGCAGGAAAGGCAAGGGAAACTAATTGCATATAAGTAAATAGAAGAAGCTTGAGTTTGGCACAGAAATACATATTTATATACGAGTGCACTTGTTTGTGTAGAGATATGTACTCGAATGCGGAATTTTCGTTGCTAAAGAAAATATTCACTTATTTAGGGAGATAAAGCATGACGTATACGTAACTTTTTTCTACCACTCTTGGTCGGTCACTCTAACAAGATCTTTAAACGTGGTAAGGCATTAAAATACAACGAAAACAAAAAACAGTATCCATATGTGTGTATATAGTTGTTGTTTTTGTTGTTATTGTTGCACGTTGCTTTTATAAAACAATGGCTGGCCGCAGCCTGGACCCAGCAACTTCATTTCAGGTAAGCTCACAAATTGTTATTGGTAAGCTGTCAGTACAGGTTTTTGTTCTACAATCACATGTGCACTTGTGTGTAAGCGTTTGCATATATGTATGTATATAATGTAGTCGTAGGCGCACTCCAAGGTTCAAATATTGTTGATTTTTTTTCTTCATTTAAGGGGCAACTAAGCCAAGAAGCACTCACTCATCTCTCAAATATGCATTATTCATACCTGTAGTTATCTATGTATGAATCGTTCTTGCTATACATTTTCCTTACTCATCTATCTTCTAGCATAGGTGGGCTTGGTAATTTTACTTTATCGCTCCCTTGAGTTATCTGCATTTTGTCTTTATCCGCATGCGCTGCGTACTTGCCGTAAATCCATTTTATTTATTACCCAAGTCATCGTCGGTATTCATTAGGTCATTAGTTAAGCATCGTCAACGGTGACTAAGATTAGCCGAAAGCTCGGCGTCATCTTTGTTGTGACCGAATGCAAGTCATTTCGCTGATGATGAACTTCATTTTTCTATTGTCTCTTGGTTTTTGCGTAAATTCTTGCTTAAGTTAGTAATATGTGTATGTGTGAATACAGTACAATAGTTTTGTTGTTGTGGGCTTTTAACAGATTCTCATATAAATTTACCTGCAGCCTTTATTCTAGAAATTTGCAGCCACATTTGCATTCAATACTTGCACATATTTGTTTATGTTTGCATATGATTAAAATATTTGGTAATGTCACCCTTCAAAAAGGATAAATTATATCTTATAATTGTTATATATAACTTTTTTTTTTAATTTTAACCGCTTCAAGACTATAGATATCCATTTGTCTGACATGTGCATTACCTTCGTAATATTTTCAATACATAGAAAAATTATCATAATTTTAGAACATTTGTTTTCAAAGAACGTAGTTCTCGCAGCTTTGGCATATTTTTCTTCTATTGACGTATTTACTTTTTAAATACGTGAACACGTTGCTTTAGTTGTTGTGATTTTTACGACATTCTAAACGGTTCATATGGTTTTAAATTAAACAATTTTTACCAAAATTTGATTTTTAAGTTCTATGTTCGAATAGCTCTTACCAAAAACTACATATACACTGATTATAGCGATCTTTAAACTTTCCGCCACACCGCTGGTTGATTTTTTTTCTGCTTCAGTTGAAGTGGTTTTGCCGGCGATTATCTCTTTACTGTCGACAAATTTCTTTCCAATGAGCATTCGCTTGAGGTCTGAAAACAAAAATGATCGCTGGTGGCTAATTCTGGTGAATACGGGAGCGTAATCTTCCTATCGTTTTAATTGATTTGTGATACGGTGCATTGGCTTGATTGGGAGCTTGTAAGGCAACTGCTTTGCACGGAGCTTTCGCATATCAAATATACATGAAAGAGTTTCTCAACTTACACCATTAATCTTTAGAGTGTTAGCTATCTCGATAGATCGTAGTAGTAGCAGTAATAGTTTTTTCCATTCCTTTATGTTCTCTTTCATAACTGCTTCTTTTGGAAAGGCACTTTGATCATCTTTATAGCCTGTGCTAAATATACATCCAATCACTTAAAAAACAAAAGAAAGATCAGCGTGTCCTTTATAATATGATTATTTGAAGACTAACAAAAATCTCCGTCATTTTAAATATTTTTCATGTTTTATATCTTCCAAATCACAGATTGTTTCACTGTTTAGACAAGAGCTTAAAAACTTCCAAAAGCTAGGAATAGATACTTTCTTTGAATTTGTTAACGATACTTGATTTGTTATTTTATTTATTTCCAAGGCGTCTTTTACTTCTATGTCACTACCTAAGAACGACGCTTAAGAAGTTTCGCAAAAAATTCAGTCAGCCGGAATATGGAGGAAGTATGAGCCTATTTTTTCAACCCGCGGGTGTTCAGAACACTGTAACTCATGTTCTACTCAATATTTATACTCTTGCAACATGTTGCTACAGAGTGTAATAGTTATGTTCACCTAATGGCTGTTTGTATCGAGTTGGATATAGGGTTATATATATGTTGATGATCAGGATAATGTGATTAGTTGAAATCCGAGTGACTGTCTGTCTGTTCTCCCGTGCAAGCGATAACTTCAGTAAAAATTGAGATATCTTAATGAAACTTGGTGCACGTGTTGCTTGGCAAAAAATTTCATAAATGAGCGTAATCGGACCACTGAGGCGCCCACAAAACACCATTAATCGAAAACATATAAATATAAGTTATGCTATAGGTTAGGTTAGGTTAGAGGGTCGATCCCAAGAAGGATCACACTTGGACAGCTTAAACGCCGGTCCGTTGTGGTACCCAAAACTCCTATGAGCCAGATCAATAGACCAATAGATAGAAGCTATACTATAACTAAGCCGCAAATTTATATACAAAATTATTACAAAAATTAATGAAATCGGATGATAACCACGCCCACTATACATATAACGGTTTTGTTAAAAACTACTAAAACTGCGATAAAACAATTACGAAATGCGTCAGAGACATTGAATTTTACATCCGAGATGCCACGACAGGGCTTTATAGGAGCAGGTGTCAAAATTGGATGATGAGCACCGCCCACATTTAGGGGAAATCACATATCTCTAAACCTACTCCACCAATTTCAATCAAATGCGGTACATAAAATTAACCTGATGATCCTACATTGTGAAAATGAGCGAAATTGCGCCTCCTTCCCATACAACACAACTTAAAATGCCATCTCAAGTCTAAGCATTGTCAAAATCGGATCATAACTGTTTAAGCACCCACATACCGAAAATGTGGACCCCAGAACCTCTGGCTGATTTTTTTCCGAAAATATTCAGGGACCCTCAATGATTTTAGTGTCATTTTTGCTGGCGTAAAATGAAATATACTTGTAGTAATAAAACTAAGAGACTTCAAAATAATATCTTAAGATAATCCCTCGGCTTTGATCCTTGCAAGTTACAAGAATATGAAATTTTCGGTTACACCTAAATTTAGCGCTTCCTTAATTATTTTAGTTTAAAATTTATATTTATATTATTCAAATATATGTCAATAAATGATAATAAACTTAAAGGTCTATCTAGTTACTGATCGTAGAAAAAAATCCTAAACAAAATTACTCTTTTATCAACATTTCTTTTTTCTCCCATTGCAGCATAGGGTCCTTTAATATAAAAATAATTCAGATAAAATAATTTACATTTATATAATTTAAGGGTGTTATTTATATAATAAAAAGGTGTCTGCCAATAAAGAAGATTTTTATGCTTTAAATTATTTCAAACCCAAAAACTCAAAACAATATTATTACTATAGAAATTATCGAAAGAATAGTAAAAATTTTGATTTTTGTAAAATCCAAAAAAAAGTTTTTTTATGTAAACATACTTCAAAGTAGCTTAAAAGTCAAACATTTTGTTCTTCGATTGCCTACAAATATATCTAAGAAGATCATGTGAAGTTTTTAAGTCGATCGGTTCAGCCGTTTGGGAGAAAAAAGCTTTTCAAATTCGCATTTAAAGTTTTCAGAGCCGATTTCACTATGCAAAAAAATTATGCAAATATGCTCTTAACTCCAAAACTATTTGCCGGATCAACTTCGTATTTTCGGATAATATTTTTATATATATGTACCTTTTCTGACCATCACGAGTGAATATAACCCCTTAAGTCGAAAATCCGAACAATTAAAATTTTTTTTTTTGCTCTGAACTGTCGACATGTTTGATCATCCCGTCTGTTCCGTTTATTCGCAACCTGGTGTTTTATTAGCTTTTATTATAAGAGTTTTTGTCTGCTCTGAGTTTACTAGTTGGTGAGGAATACTGTTCCAGAGCACTTGAAGCCAACATAAACAGCTTTAATGTTCTCAAATAAAAGCCACAAGTATAATATGTTTCGACAATGTAAAGGGGACCCACACTTCAATCGATTAGCTTTCTGCAAAATTTATGTTTTTGTTTGCGACTTTGAACTAAATAAATCCTATTGTATTTTCTTTACAGTACTTTCGCACTCTAAACACCCGTGTATCGGTGGTGTACATTGAAACCTGGGGCAAAAATCAGGCCCTCATCGATGGCAGTAAGGACATCAGTAAAGCCATATCGAATTTCAACGATTATACATCGCGAAATCTTTTCCAAATCGAACGCGACACCACACAGTTACTAACGTAAGTAAAACCAATTAGCATATGTTTGTATAAATATTATGGTCTTTAAAATTGCAAATAGAAGTGATTTGAAGAAAATGGTTATGCAAAAAATAATAGTAATTGAAAGGATATTAGCAGAGTGGCAATAAATTGATGCGTATTAAATTACGTGCAAAGTAGTATGAGTGGATGTGTGTCCACACAATAGGCTTACACTAACGCATTGACACATAGAATTGACTATATAGAATATAATTGCGTTACCAATTACATATATATTTTCTTATATGCGGTGACTGTGGTTGATGTGGCAACTATTGCCACAAATGCACACAGAAATCACAATTAAATTTTTAAATGCATAATTAATGCAAAGCCACTCCAGTCTCTCAGACAGTCCAGCCAGGGTGGCCAACAGAGCACGAACAACCGCATAGACTGAGCGCCCGAAATGGGAAATATTTTATAGATATTGTGATGAAGGGTGGGATAACAGCCTCCGAACGCCAGGCTAAGCTTTGTATGTGTAAGTGTGTGAGCGCGCGATAATGAGTAGCTGGCCTAGCGATACGCTTCAGCCATATTTATTATGACCACTATAGCCGCGTCGGATTGTGCCAACTTAACAATTATCGATACATGCGCCCACCACCCACGCTGTTACAGCACTGGGGGGATGAGGGATGAGCGCTAAGCCCTCAAATAGACTGTCTTCCAAAACGTTGCGTTCACAACTGCGGATTATAATGAGCAAAGTGCGGCCACATGCCTCGTCACATGAGCCCTTTAACCCTAATGACAGCATAAACTTAGTCAAACTACCGACTGGGTGGGAGTGGGTGAGCCGAATGATGGGGTGCAGTGAATGGATAATGGAAGTATGTGCTGTTTGTTTAGCTGCAAACTGTTGGCGACCATTCACACGCTGTCTGACTGGCTGGCAGGCTGGCTATAAAGTTTTAATGCGCATTTCTGATTTTATTTACGCAGCATATTTGAAAGGGTAATACATTTTCATATTTAAATACCGTTACCCGCAACTGTGCAACAAGCACACAACTGAAGTAAAGCTGTGAAACACAATACAATTGCCAGCATAAGCGATGAGTTGGTCATTATGCTCATTTTATTATGCTTAATTCACACATACATTCAAACTTATTCACTCCCAAAATAAATATTTATATCCTTGCATAGCAAAAGTTGCTTACTTTTGAACTCTTCATTTTGTAATCTTCTTTGGCCGGCGGGCCTTTAATACGTGACTGTTGTTTTGTTGCTGATTCGATTAAATAAACATTTAATTATGTCATTGCTGTGCGGAGGAATGCAAATGTATTGGTAGTTGGGTTGGTCGCTGAACCCGAGTGAGCCGTAAAAGAAGTCAGCGCTAAATTTTAAGATAATTTACTACATTCATGTGACACTTCTGCCAATTACTGCGTGCTTCTTGATTGCACGTTCTTCAGAATTCAGGTAATTGTGCGACGCATCACGTGATTGATGATGAGTTGGATCAAATAGTTAAGTGACACAATTTCAAACAAAATTGACTGGTTGGCAGAGTTAAAAATAAAAAAACAAACCTTATGTTGCGGCAGGATTGTAAAATTTTTTTTTTTTAAGGAAAAAGTTGTAAACTAATTGCGAAACCTCGCGAAACAAAAAATATACAGGTATTTAATAATCGAGTTAAGAATTCAAAGACGCTGAACCACATATATCAAGTTTTGCATATTGCAGTATATTTTACGAAAAAAATTTATTCTAAAAGAGAATTTGGCTAGGGTTAACGCTGGATCATGCTAATTGTAGTTATTTTTTATCGTTGCTGTTATGCCGTTATTGTAATAACAAAAAGCATTTTTCTTAATCGAATGAAAACCATGTTACACACATCGCCTTCCGTGGGCCGGTGCTTTGAGTTTTGTTTTGCATATCCCAATATTTTTATTATTTTTCAATTTTTTTTCTAGCTAGGCCCGATGAAAGTCTCAAACAGGTCATCCTTTGAACTGAACTTCTTATCTAATTTTTTTACCAGGTCAGGTCTTATTTAACTTTGACTTTTTTCTCATTTATTCCAGGTGTTTTATCTGACATTTTTTTGTGATGTCAAAAACCACAATTGCCGATATTTTTAGATGGATTTCTGGTGCGCCTCTGTCAAACGGTTAAAGACAACTTACAAGTTGTACAGCACAAAAATTCTACACCAAATACCAAAAATCCACTACAACCCCCTAAAGTCTCGTCTTTGGCAACCGCAATAGCAATCATGTTCGCCTAAATCCCAACTAATGTTTTCACACCTGTGTTCACAATATAAATACTCGAACAAACATATTAGTCTACGTCATTTTGCTTATCCACCTAAATACATTTCATTTTATCTTCTTGTTGTCTATTTTTCATTCCCACGTCCTTGTCCTCACTCACTCACTCGAAGGCATTTGGACGAAATGGTCACACGTAATGCCAATGAAATTGATGTTTCGCGGTTGACAAACACACGTGAACTATGTCAGCTCACATTTTTTACTTCTTACCCCCCTTTTCCCTTTCGTTATCAAATTTGTGGCTGCACCTACCTGAAGTGGCATTCCTCGCGGCGGTGAACAGGCATTGACATCGGCAATGATCTATTACCTACGTGTCTTTAGCAGATGAAATCTGTCAGACAAGCCAATTTTCGTTTTCGTTTTTCCTCATCTGCCCCTCAGCAGAGTAAAAGTGTAACCACAGTGCCGTGATTAGTGGGAGGAAATATATAGTGATGGCGAAAAGTTACGTGCGCTTAGAAATCGTTTATGAATGGTAAGTTCAAGAGGAAATGCGATGTATGAAAACGTGAAGGGATTGTAAATAGTTATTTAAATTTCATGTCTGAAAAAAGACTAGTGATGACGATTAACATAGAATAAAATTTAGGACCCGGATGGATTTCTCTTCAAATGATTCGCTTAAAAATATTAAGATCAAGCAAATGTGTATGAATCATGCTGTAAAGCTCGTATTGTTTTGAAGGAAACACTTTTTTGTAAAAACGAAATATTATTATACAGTATTTCCATGAGGTACGAAATAGAAGTTATAATCTTCCAACTATGCTATACCCTTGTTGTCATACGACTCGTCTTTTTGCTTAAAATGAACCTTCGGTGATAGTGTTTTCCATCTTTAAAATAAGTAATCTCATGGGATTTGATAACAGAAAAAAGTTTGTCCTTTTTAAGAATACGGTAGATGTAAAAGCCAGTCGAAACTCAATTCTTACACTTTTCTAATAGCTTCCACTGGTTTGTGACACATTTTCGGAATATACTTTTCAGCTTGATTTGAAAAAGTGTTTTTATATATGAGTTTGAAATCATCTGTTTTTCATTGTATCTAAAAACTTTGTCGACTGATTTTGGTTTTAAGATTAACCCGCTTCTTGCCGGGTCTGTTTCTAAGAAACGTCGAGATGGGCTGATTTTACAGTGAATCTAGCGAACTCAACAATTCAATCTGAAAATAATAATGGTAATATAAATATATTACGAGTAGTCATCTGTGCACAGGAGCATAACTGGACATATGATACAACACCCGAAGTGGCATTCCCTACACCATTGATATTTAGGTAACAGAATAACTGATTATACAATAGCTACATAGTTGGTATTTAAGGAATAAAAAAATCATCCAACTCAAAGCAACTCCCGAATATACTTCCTTAATGCTTATATATTTGGAAGCATTAATTATGAAAGGAAATAAGGGCAATATACATATATTTATGTAATGTATAACCTTTGTTAGCGGCATGGGTTTCTGGGAGGAAAAGTTCACTTCTGCAATTCTTTTTCCAATAAAACAAAGTGTTATCTTCAATTTATTTGTCCTGCTGTAATTCTAAGTTAATTATAATCTAAAACCACAAAAGGTGACAATACTTCAAGCTGTAATTTTTTGCTGTGAAATTTTGCAAAATTCTTGAACTTTACTTGATTTTTTAGTGATTTAATTCAATATTTAGTGATTTAACTCTGAGTAGCAAGCTAAGTATTAAATGTCCTAAGTTTTGTGCATTATTAAGAAGTTTAAATTTTTGAATTTTTGGTGCCGAGTCAGCTTTTTGTTTCACTTTGTTTTATTTTATGCTATTTTCTCTCTTTATTTTTCTCATTTACTTCTTTATTCACAGCTGTGTTGCGTGTAGCTGTTTATTTGTTCTAGTGCATCTAAAACTGCTCGCTATATTGCTTTTTCAAACTGTCTTGGTTTTGAACTTTGATAAAAAAATATAAAAAAAATTGCTTTATTTTTCCGTTTGTTCTTAATTGAATTTATTATTATTAGTATTTTATTAACACACTAATTTATTCTTCATACACTAATTTTGTTTTACTTACTTTTTTATTTGATCTTCATTCTTGTTGTATATTATGTCTTGTAACTTCCCCAATTGTAACATTAAAGGCGAGTCAGATCGCTATGTTTCATGCTGGCTTTGTGATGGGCTTGCCTATATAACATGTGCTGGACTGACAGGTAGAATCTTAGATTCTATTCTCGACTTTAAGGAACTGCGTTGGTCCTGTTTAAATTGTAGATCTACTGAAATCGATCTATTTAAAGTTTATAGGAAGACACGCAATGGCTTTAACGAAATCGGTCGAGATCTTGGAACCCTCACTGAAAAATGTATCCACTACGAAAAATTGTTCAATTCTTTTAAGTGTCTGAATGATTCTCATGAATCCTCCAAACCTGTTCCTAAGCGTAAACGTCCTTCCGATGAAGTAACACTTAGTTCTTCTGTACAGAAAAGAACGTATCCGCCCAATGACCTAATAAATCTCTCTTCTCCTTGCCCTCAAGGTGATAAGCCGTCAACTTCCAAAGAGCTCAATTCCACAAAAGCTCTATCTAATAGTAATAAGTGCCTCACAATTCCAGAGGCTAACCCTAATAACTTAGTAACATCTATTAAAAATTTGGTAGTTATTCCACCTAAAAAGTCTATATTTATT